CATAAAGGTATATTGTTTGACAAACATAATAAATTGTTTTTAAATCTGGAAATTTTACATACATATTTTCCAACAGGGGAAGGGGAATTAAATCTGACTTCTTTTGAAAAAAGTAGAGAATGTGCCAACTCTGGGCAAGCCTTAACAAAAACCTGGAACTATCTGTAACTATTATGGCAGCTGCCCCTTTGAACAGGGCAGCAGCTCTCTACACTTCTAGTCTTTTGTTATTATTGTTAAATTTTGTTTAGTGTGTGTGTGTGTGTGTGTGTGTGTGTGTGTGTGTGTGTGTATGGTGTGGGAGAGGTGTACACAGGCATGTTCCTTGGCACATGTGTGGAGATCAGAGGACAACTTATGGGAGTCAGTTCTTTCCTCCCACCATGTGGTAACTAAGAAATCAAACTCAGGTCATCAGGAGCACCAGCATCAAGGTGCTAGTCTTTGTTCAACTTTAGCTTCCACTCATTTGCTTATCTGCCTAGCCTTGGTCATTCAAACTTTCAACTTCTAGTTCTACTTATTTGCATTCAAACTCAGACTCAGTTCCCATCATCTGTGTGTCCCCAAACTAAGTTCCTCAACATATCTTTCTACATTCTCTAATTCGATGTCGACAACAGCTAATAGTACGCCAAGAACACCGTTACTCCCTCATTTTCCAAACAGTAATCAGTTCCCACCAACTTACTTACTAAAAATATTGAATCTATCCGAGGGTGGTAAGGCGCACACCCAGGAGTCAGAGGCTAGGGGATTTCTGCAAGATTGAGGCCAGCCTGGTCTACATAGTTAAGTTCCAGGTAAGCTGGGGAAACAGGAAGACCCTGTCTCAAAACCAAAACCAATAACAATAAAAAAACTGGTAATAATGATAATGAAATAAAATAAATAAAAATACTGAATCTATTCCCCATTGTTCTCCCCATTACTGCTGTTTTAATCCATTCAGAACCCCATCAACAGCCACAGTCCCTTCACCACAAACAAAACTGTCCACCTTCCTAGTCACATCGTCTCTTGCCTTAGGTCCCATCTTCTCTTGCTTTCTCCACAACACTGCCCAACAATTCTCCTTTTTTTCCTCCTGTACTATCAGTTCTCTCTCTAATGAATCACTATCATTAGCACAGAAACTTGCTATTAGTGTTTCTTTTGTCCTTAAAATAATTTAAATCCCCCCACACTCCTGGCTGCCAATCCTTTCTTCAGCTACTGCTACAAGAATCTCAGCAGAATCTGAAAGCACTATCTATACGCCTAGCTGAAAACTGTTCTCAAAGGTTCTGAAGAACTCCTTGTGATTAAAACCATCATGAATTTTCTTCTTGGTGCTCACCCTCCTTGGTCTGAGCCCTCTCTCCTCCTAGATGCACTCTCTCTAAGCTCCAGGTACCACAGTCACTTGGTTTTCTTCTCCTTTCTGGTCACCAGTCTCCTGCTGATTCTGCCTCAACTTAAGCCTCTAAGTCAGTGTTTGGGCTTCTTTTCTTTCTACTCTTAGTCTCAAATTCTCACAGCCATAAATCCCATCTCTGTGCCAATGAGTCCCCAGATTTAGTCCACATTCCCCTTCCTCGCAGAGTCTGGTTCTTCCTGCAACTATCTACCTTAGTTAATACAGCTCCATTCTTGTTACCCAAACCAAAGCTCTCTGTCAACCTAAATGTCTGCTATATACTAAAAATAACTTTCAAAATTAACATAACATCATTCAACAGAATATTACTTGTTAATTACATAATTATTAATCAATTATATAAGTTAATTACAAAAGGAACTAAAGGCAGCTGTAGAGATGGATCAGCGGTTTAGAGCACTGGCTGTTCTTGTAGAAGAGCCAAGTTCAAATCCCAGCACCCACGAGGCAGCTAACAACCATAACTCCAGTTCCAAGGGATCTGATACCCTCTTCTGTCTTCTGTGTACACTGCATGACATGGGTGCACTTACATACACGCAGGCAATACACTCATAGACATAAAATAAAAATAATAAAAATAAAAGGTTCATGAGTAGACCTTAAAAACACTGTTCAGAGCTAAAATAAAGCTAGACAAAAGAGATCACACAGTGTAGAATCCCATTTGTATGAAATTTCTCAATGAACAATCTCATCTGCAGTGGCAGGAAGCAGAAAGAAGATCAGTGACTGCCTGGCTCTAGGAACTGGGAGTGGGGGCAACCAGAAGGGAAGGGATCTTTTAGAGTGATAGAAATGTTCCATATCTTGATTGTGCTAGCAGTTCTATGTAAATAAATTGGTCTAAAACTCACTGAACTGTAGGAGACATATATATTTGTCTTTTTTGAGACAGGGTCTCCCTGTAGCCCCAGCTGTCCTGGAACTCGCTATGTAGACCAGGCTGGCCTCAAACTCACAGAGATCCGCCTGCCTCTGCCTCCCAAGTGCTGGGACTAAAGGAGTGCACCACCACACCTGGCTCAAGACATATATTTTTAAATGTTTTTTATCTCTAGGTCTTTTTTTAAATTACCTTATTAGCATAGTACTAGTATTTATGTGTATATATGTGTGTGTATTATGATGAAAGGGGCCACATGTGTGCCACAGCATGTGTGTAGAGGCCAGAGGATAACTTTATGGAGTGGGTTCTCTCCCCCCACCAAGAATCAGATTCATCTGCCCTTTCACAGCAAGAGCTTTAACCTGCTGAGCCATCTTGCCGACCCGATACATATACTTTATTTCATGTTAATGATACCCTACCAATGTTGATTAAGCACACACACAATATGACTACTTCTTGCTACCTCTCTACCTCCACTGCTACAACGTGGGAGCCATCACTATCTCTCTTCAGGTTTACAATCACCTCCTAAACAGCTTTTCTGTCTTTGCCCTTCTGCACTTTATTCTCAATACAGTGCCCATAGCAATCCTGTTAAAATATGAATCTCATCATGTCACTCCCTTGCTCAAACCCCTAATGGTCTTTCAGCACAATAAAAGCCAGTGTTCTTTCCCTTTGGAGCAGGAGTTTTTTAAGATAGGGTCTCACTCTGTAGCCCAGGTAGGGTTAAAACTCACTATTGTAGGCCCTGGGTTCTATCCCCAAACAGGAAAGACAAACACTGTAGCATATTCAAACATGCCATGTTAAAGTACCCCAACCTAGACTTGCTTTCAAGTCTCATCAATTTAAGACCAAAAAAGAACACAGAAAAAAAGTAAGATCTATCAAACACTGAGAATGTTTCCCATCAAATTCAGATTTTCTTCTGAGCAAGGATCCATAAGTGTGAAATAATTTTCATAATTGCCAAAATAAATAAATAAAGTCTTCTGCATTCTCTGTATAAGCTACAGCTTAGTGCTTAATGCTCCCACAAACACTATTGTAGAAAATCACCAAATAGTCTCAAAACTTAGAATTTATTTTAAAACTACACATAATCCTTATTTATCTTTATCCTTTGAATAACTTTAGGTCTTGTCTTATCAACAAGCCCTATAAATATGGAAATTTACTAAAGGGGTGATCAGTTTAACATAAGGTAAAGGTGCCATTGCTCCAGAGATCCAAGTCTCCTTTAAACGAGCAAACAACAAAGTCCAAGGCCCACAGGGGCCAACTTAGTAACTGTAGACAAGAGAATTCTGTACTGCAGCTTTACCTGCAGCTGACAGCTCTTACTTGAGTGGCACTAAAGTATTCAACTTCACTCAAGTAAAGAGTTCCAATTACCTGCTCTGCTTTATAAGCCGCACTGCACATCAACCCTAAAAAGAGGAATATTTTTATAATATGATTTAAAATGTTTTATGAAGTTGAATGCAGTGGAAATTTTCAGGAAGGCACCATTGTTTAAAGCAGTTCTGAACAAATAATCTTATCAAACACAGTTAATATTTCAGGGGCAAGCAGAACGAAACACTAGAAATACACTGTTGCGCAAATGGCTTGTTTTTGTTATACATAAAATGCATCTTTCATTGCTCTGTGTCAATTTCTTAAACAAGACAATGAAAAATCAACTGCAATATGCTGTTCTAGCATAGGATAATAGTTGCCTAAACACCTCCATGTAGCCCATCTGGCCACCATTAGACCTCATAACCAAAACATTTTTAAGCTGTACATTTATTATTTATTTATCTTAATATGCCTAGCAACTGTAACAGTGATAATCACTTACAGGTTCCAAGAAAGTGCTAACATCTCTAAATATTCTAAGTTTCTTGGACTGCTTTAAACCTAAAACAGAGGTTAGTCTAGATAGGCAAAATAACAGAAACATTAATACCAAAACTAATAGGCACTTTCTAGCACATGAGACGGTCATTAGAACCAGACCATTAAAATCAACTTTTATTTGCTGGCTTAGAGTTTTCAAAGCAAGATGAAATGGGAATGATCACACAGTACCTTACCCTTTCTACTGGTGAACCATAGCATGCAATGCCGAAACATAGCAGTGGCAGATGGCATTGGAGTTAACTACAAAAAGGGTAAGAGCAGAGGAATGGTGGCTGGTAACGAGACACAAATGCAGATGGAATGAATGAATGCAAATGTGTAGCTCTTGAAGCAGAGCAAAACCTTTGAGTCAAAGGTTGCCATTAGCTTCAACTGAATTTACATTTTGAGTTTTACACGGGCAAATACTGCAGCCTTGCAACCAGTCCTCAGACTCTTCATGCAGCAGAACCACACTCCTCGATAAAGAAGATCAGCGACCTTCTGGAAACAGCAGCCAGCAGCAGCAGCCCATCACTCGCTCTTCACTGATTTCTATCCTTTCAATTTTTAATCTCCTACTGCAGCCAGGTCCACAGTCGTTTCAAATTAATGTGCATCCACTGCAGATACAAATTCCTGCCTAACCTGCACTACCACTTCATCCAGAAGGTTCCTGTGCACTCGTTCATGCAGGATCAGTTGCAAAACCATTCAAGTCATTCAGCAAACAACCCCAAAGAGAAGGAAAGAAGCAGTTGGGACTATGAAGAGAAAGAATCTCTTCATTCAGCTCACCCTGGAAATGGAAGGTTTTCTGATCAACAGTTATTGTGAAGGTGCTGTCGTCTTCATCGTCTATACCAATCACAGCTCCCTGTGAGACAAAGAGCAAGATCCCAATAAGGCAAACAATGACATCAGCAATATTCACCACAGCCCTGGAACACTCAATGCGCTGAGGGGACTGGCCGCAGCAGACAGAGCAGAGCAATCTGAGCGCCTTGCTGTGCTTAAGGAGGAACTAAAGGAGAAGGCTGGCAGGACCCCTCAGTGTCCTGAAGGGGACTTTCTACGCCTTGCAGAGGGGCATGATGTAGTGGAAGGGGGAAGGGACAAACACCGAAGCTGAACCTGGAATCTGCTTATGAGCCAGCCAAGAGCCTTTGTGAGCTTTAAACTGCTCTCTGAAACGGGAGTCAGAATCCTACACTGCCCCAGGTTGTTGTGCGGTTCAGACGGCAGGTGCTGTTCATCAGGCTGCTTCTGAGTGGTGCTTGTTAGTGCAGAAACGCCAGCTGACATTTGCTTCAAAACACTGCTCAATAATCCCCTTTTCCAGATGTTCCCATAAGCACTCGTGTGTGCTCTAAAGTTGCCCTTCCCACAGTCTGTTGATTATTTGCTCATATCTCTACCTCCTCATACTGAACTAAGTAAGCTCCTACAAATCCGGGACAATTTTACTCATTTTGACACATGACACTCAAACACACACAGTATACACTTTCTAAAGAAAAGCACAAACAACTCTCAAAACTAAGAGAGGGCAGGAAGCTGTATTTATTACAGGAAGCTGTAAAGTTTGGAAACTTTAAACATTTTTTTTTATATTCAACTATATACATCCTGTTCAGACAACAGGAATTAATGGAACAAAACAAAAAACTACACAAAACATAAAGTCTACTGGTAAATGTTCTTTTAAATTTTTTCATTTATTATTTTTATGTTTATGAGTGTATTGCCTGCATGTATGAGTGCACCCATGTCGTGCAATGCTGCGGAGGTCAGAAGAGGGCTTCGGATTCCCCTGGAACTGGAGTTAGAGGACGGTTCGTAGCTGCCATGTGGGTGCTGGGAATCAAACCCAGGAACTCTGCAAGAGCAGTCAGTGCTCTTAACCGCTGAGCCATCTCTGTAGGCCAAGTCAATGTTCTTAAGGAATAAATGTTTCGTGTATGCCAGACTCCTGAGACTAGAGAACAGTCTCCACACCCCCTGCAGCACATTATACTCAGCCTTGAAAACGGAGCTTGAAAAGACTTGAGGAGAAAAAGTACCTAGCCACATGAAAAACTGGTATTTAAAGAGACTACTCTTAGCCCAGAAAGATTAGGTAATAGGGTTAAATTAATTCATTAATTTCTTCCCAGAGAAATGGATAACATTACCTCTATCTAAACTCCATCTACCTGAATTATCTCATTTATTGTTCAGTTTCAGATTGGGTAAGAAATTTGTCCCTACTCTCAAATAAAGGAAGTATCTCTAGATTTAATTTAGATCCCACAGAAGCTAATAGCAGAACCAGAACTGGATCACCACTGACATGATGCCTACCTATTCCAGGACAGCAAATACTGACCCCTCATAGTATATTAAGCTCATTCTGGTTAACTTAATTTTGTGGTTAAATGGGTTAACCATTTAAACGCTGACACGACAAACATTTACTGGGTCTAAATAAAAATATAGTAGCATTTAACAACTAAATACAAAAAGATGTGCTAGATGCAGCTCTGGAGTATGTAACAATAGTCCTTGCCTTCAAGGAACTTATATTCCAGTAGAAGAGGTAAGAGTACAGCACAGGACTAAAAGAGGTCTCTATCTCCTGGAGGACGTTGAAAACAGGATCAAAGAAGCTGGGCACTAAGGAAACACAAAGGGCAAGTACACAGAGATTGAAGGTAGTTTAGTGGTTCCCCAGAAGTCAGGGGAAGAGGGACTGAATGCTAATAGGTACAAGTTGTGGGGGAGGATTGTTTTTTTGAGACAAGATGTTGCTGTGTTGCCCAGAAGGCTTCAAACACCCTATCTTAAGTAATTCAGCCTTCCACTTAATCGGGATTACTGCCACATACCACTATACCCAGCTGGTACTGGATTTCTTCATGGAGTGATTAAAAACATTCTAAAATTGAAATACTATTGTGACAGTTGAATAATCCTATGACTACACCAAAAACATTAAGTGCATACTTGCCTTCGCCTCCTGAGTGCTGGGATTATGGGCATGCCCCATCACACCCGGGTTTTATGCAATGCTTTTTGCTTAGTATTTGTAAGGCCCTCCTAATGTTATTCCCCAGCACCAAAACGAGAGAAAGCAAGGATAATAGTTCCAAATGAGCAAATCCAGGGCTTTGAGCATGCTAGGCAAGTACTCTGTTAACTGAGCTACATCCCCACCCCCAATATGTGAATTATAACCCAACAAAGCTGTAGTATTTCAACATACTTCCAAATGCCTGTCCAGTCATTCTTTCTTTTGGGTTTCTTAACATCAATTCATTTATCATCGAATTAACTCAGAAATCATTAGGATCTACACAAATTCTTCCTCATTCTATAAGATTTGCTCATTTGGAACTATTATCTTTGCTTTCTCTCATTTTGGTGCTGGGAATAACATTAGGCCTTACAAATACTAAGCAAACACTCTACCACTGAGCTATCTTAAATCCACCAACTTCTCTATCTTCAAGGCTACTGCTCTAATGGAAACTTTGACCAATTTCTTGCTCATTAACACAGTCTTCAGTCTGGACACCTTCTAAACCAGTCTTTGTTACTGCCAGGGTATTTCTAAAGCACAACATTTAGGAGACAACATTACTTCTTAATGCCATTCAAGACTATTCAAATTTAGCTCAAACAACCCCAACCCCCTTCCTCTCCACTCTACAGAATTCACAGAGATCCACCTGCCTCTGCCTCCCAAATGCTGGGATTAAAGGTGTGCGCCACTAGGCCCGGTTATATGTACTCAGTCTTAACATTTCTACTACACAGTAAAAAAACAGCAAGCAATATCACTTTTTCCTATAATTCTACTAGCTCAGTTCCCCATCATTTGCAGAACAAAACCCCACACATCTCCCTCTGGCTCCCATCTCCCCTCGCTCTGCTTACAGGGATGAGCTTTGTGAAAACTCTGCAGGCCTTAACCTTTCGTCCATTCCTGCATTCCTGCCTCCTTCTGCTTGCTGTGTCCCATGACCATTTAGTACTCTCCAGTTTGCCAGACAGCACTCCACCAACGCTAATAGCTGCTGCTGCCCATTTCTTTCTTGAGCCCGTCTCCTTAATGGCTTTTGTGTTTAAGCTGTACTTCCCCAAAGAACCTTCGCTAACCTAATTTAGGAGAAAGCTTTCCCTTCTGGTTCCTTGTGTGTCCTCTCTGTTAGGGAAAGAGGAATTTACTGCTTGTTTGAATTTACTGCTTGTCTGAATTTACTGCTTGAATTTACTTGTTTGAATTTACTGCTGTAACCAATTAACTCAACTGGAGACACAGGCATCCGGAGATAGTTCCCCAAAGAACCTTCGCTAACCTAATTTAGGAGAAAGCTTTCCCTTCTGGTTCCTTGTGTGTCCTCTCTGTTAGGGAAAGAGGAATTTACTGCTTGTTTGAATTTACTGCTTGTCTGAATTTACTGCTTGAATTTACTTGTTTGAATTTACTGCTGTAACCAATTAACTCAACTGGAGACACAGGCATCCGGAGATAGGGAAAAGTGCTGCAGCCCCTGGAGCCTGACCTGTCTGATCTGTGTTGTGTCACGTAGGCATGTCTGCTTACACAAGATAACAGGGAAGGGCCGTGCCAGGCACATACCACCCATCCCTCCCGGATCGAGACACCTGAAGGGAGTTGTAACATTTTTCTTGTTTTGAAGTTATCGGTTTGTGAAACGCTTGCTTTGAAACTATTGGCTGTATAAACGCAGGCTTTTGTGTAACAGTTGTGGGAGCCTATATAATCTTTACCTAAAATTGCCTCAGGGTCGATCGCTCTAACCAGACCTGCGTGTCTTGGAAGGACGGTCGGCCCCAGCTAGCTGGTTTAATAAAACTCTGCTTGATTTTTGCATCTCCATACTCGTGCATTTGTTCTCCTGAAGAGACCCACTGAGTCATGGACCCTAACACTCTCCTCTACCATAAGGCTTCACGAACACTTTAGAACTTAGCTAACAGTCTCCCATTCCGGTTAGATCTTGTCAGTAGCCTGCGTATCCTTCAACATAGGTATGTACAATTCACCTGACACTGGCCTCCCTGTATTTTGATTGGATCAAAAATAAACTTTATTTCCCATGGCAATACCCTGGATCCTCACTGTTTGATACTGTAGCCTTGATTATAATGAAAATTAAGCAAAATTTAAATTAATTGGAGCTGAAGGTGCAGTTCTGTGGCAAAGCAGTGCTCAGCATTCATAAGGCCTTGGGTTCAGTCTCCAACACCAGAAAAGAAAAATGTCCTAGGTCACACAGGCCATATTCCATAGACACAAATACAGAACACTTTAATCACTGTAGAAATCATAAGCATTGCAGCATGGCAAGGTAGAGGGCAGTGCTGCCTTTCCAAAAGAAAATCAGTGAAAAGCTAAGACTGCCAATTATTGAACATTTTCAACAGAGGCATTAAGCTAAATATTTTACACATAGTCTCTTGGAAAGCATTATTTTTTAAATTTTACTCAGATGTATTTACTAGAGATTTTTTTTTAAAAAACATAAATTACCTAAGCCGGGCGTGGTGGTGCACACCTTTAATCCCAGCACTCAGGAGGCAGAGGCAGGCGGATCTCTGTGAGTTCAAGGCCAGCCTGGTCTACATAGTGAGTTCCAGGACAGCTGGGGTTACAGGGAGACCCTGCTTCAAAAAGACAAAACAAAAACAAAAACAAAAACAAAAACAAAAAAAACATAAATTACCCAATTTTGATTTACAGTAGCATAAAACTTAAATGTTTAAACAGGGAACTGCAAATTCAAAATACATTCATAAGAAAACAATTGTTATTTTCCTTTTAAGACGGGTTCTCGTGTGGCCCAACTTGCCTTCAAACTTCATCCTCCT